CTGAAGGAAAAGTAAATTCACGTCTGTACAGTAGAACGCAGAAGAAGAAAGTTCAGCCTAACCCTAAAAAAGAAGCACAAATGTTTATCTAGAGTAAATTTTGCTTATTAGTTTAAAATTGACCCTCATGACTGGTTTTGTGCTCCAGGGTCACATATGTGTTATTTAGCATTTAATTATTGCAGGTTTGCCTCAAATTCTGAGTTGCATTTTTACGTTTTTTTTTTTATTTTGAGGAATACTGAATCTGTTCTGTTCTTGTTTTATTGCATGTGAGATGAATTAATGCATGTTCACATTTGTTCTAGAACTACAGTAACATATTACTGACAGGTTTGCCTCAAATTCTGAGTTGCATTTTTACGTTTTTTTTTTCATTTTGAGGAATACTGAATCTGTTCTGTTCTTGTTTTATTGCATGTGAGATGAATTAATGCATGTTCACATTTGTTCTAGAACTACAGTAACATATTACTGATGATTTCTCTCAACATGGGCACAAGAGAGCTTTCAATCAATAAATGGGGAAAAAAAGTAATTGGCGTTACTTATTTGAAAAGTAACTTGTAAATTCAAAAGTAATGCCTTACTTTACTGGTTACTTGAAAAAATGTAATTTGTGTTACTTGTAATGCGTTACCCCCAACACTGACGACGACACTGAATGCTAAAACAGATGATTCTGAATCTCTGTGGCTGCAGGCAGTTACCCATGTGTTCTGTGATTTTCTCACCGTGTGTCAGGCACTTCTGACCATTTGACCCTAAGAAATATCCTTCGGCACAGGAACAGTTACGCTGAGCGTCCTCCTCCTCGCAGAAGTGCTCGCAGCTCCCGTTATCATACAGACAGGAGTCAGTAACGTCTTTAATCGCTGAGGAGGAGTGAAAGGAGAAACATGTGCTTGGGCCTGAATCAGGAATTTGTTCGTTCTTTAACTTCAAGGACGTGGCGTTATCACGTTCCTCTTTCTGAATGCGAAACTCTTTTTCTCTTAGCACAAATCACTTAACAGAGGGAACTACACTATATGAACTATAATCAACTATAACACTGTAGCACGATATGTAGCTATTTTAACATGTAACAAGTGAAACATTCCACACAGGAAGTGACATCGTTTGCTTCCTTTTTGCAGCACGGCGGGAAGACAATAAAATAATCTCATTTAAATGATACAAATAGATACATTTTTCTGTCATTTAGGGGTTTTCAAACAAGGCTCAATCTGTAACCTATACATTTGGCAATTGTTTTACTTTTTAAATCATAATTGAGACGTGCGGGTTTATTCGGTTGTACTCATTTTGTGTCATTTCATGTGTTCTGTCTTGTCTGTTTACATTCATGTATGATTGATTGTCAGACATTTTGGCTAAGAAGTAGGTGCTTCACAGTGATGCCATAGAAGAACCTTTTTGTCTAAATGGTTACCTAAAGAACCTTTAACATCTGAATGACTGCTAGTTGACATAACATACATTTTTTATGTTATAAATAAAAAGAAATAGCTGAATTGACTAGATTGAAGCCCTGTTGTGTTTCAGTTTGCGCTGATGCTCTCACCCCGCTCACAGTTGAGTCCGCTGAAGCCCGGCGAACACAGACACATGTAGGATTCTGCGTTCTGGCTCGAGCAGAGCCCATTATTCTCACATGGATTTGATTCACAGTGATCTTTAACTGCAGACGAACACAAACATTCATCTTAATCACAGACAATGTCATGAAGATGGATGACTTTCCAAAAACAATCTCAAAATCTCACCATCGTAGATCTTCCAGAACTCATTCTGTGTGGAGACATTAGTTAGACGTTTGCTTGCATTGAACTAATAAAATACACAACTAAAACAAAGACTTAACATCACATTCAAACACTGAGTATTAGTTATCTAGACATCATCACTGCAAAAAAATGATTTTCTTCCTTAGTATTTTTGTCTTGTTTTCTTGTATAAATATCTACAAATCCTGGAGTTAAAGGCACAATATGTAATTTTCGCCACTAGAGGGCGCTTATTCAAAATAAACAAAGAGACAAAGGTGTAGTTTGATGACGGCGTGACTGAGTGTGGAATCATGGGAGTTGTGGTCTTCATCTCCACAGCCGATACAATCCGACGGGACTCGATACGTTTAGTTCTGTTATAATGCTGCTCTGTGCGGTCGTCGCCGGTCTATTAAAACACACAACATATTAAAGCATCTTTGGTGTTTCCATGTTTTCTACAAAACAAAACCGGAAATCGAGGGGTTATGACGTCATTAGCAGGCGACACAATGACACTATAGACACGGTGCGTGTATCTAGTTAAAATTGCTTATTTCTCTGGATTTAAACATTCTTCGAAACATTTGGGATAATGCAAGTACACAAGTCAGCAAAATATATAACTGTTCTAGTGGTTTTTGGATATTTTAATAAAAAAATCTTACATATTGTGCCTTTAAGATACTTGACTTAAGATATTATGTCTTGTTTTCTAGAAAAATTATCCACATTTTGTTCATTTTTGCTTAAAACAAGTAAAATATCTGCCAATGGGGTAAGAAAACTAATCTTGATTAGCCTTTGAATTAAGATTATTTTTCTTACCCCACTGGCAGATATTGTTGCTTTTTAACAAAATTTGGATAACATTTTCAGAAAACAAGACCTATATATAAACAAGTCATTTTACTTCCCTTACGAAAAAGAAGTTTATTCAAGTGTGCTATTAGTATACTTCTTTTAAACTAAAAAATAGGAAAGTATACTTTCAGTCTACTTTTTAGGTACTTCTCAGAAATATACTTAAAATGACATTTCCTGCTAGTATCCATGTTTTCATTGTTATACTGTAGGGGGCGCTGTTACACATATTCTTCTGTACAGAGTTTCCACAAAAAAAAAGCACAAGTGAAGAAGAAACCGAAACAACAGATGCTTCCACATGTAATCTAACACGATCATCAGACATAAAACAGCATCAAAACTGTGCAACGTCGATGTAATGTCGACCAATGAAGAGGTAATAATGACTGTCAAGCTTTGGGGTGTTGATCAACTCCATCTACGTTTTGATTATCATTCTGAATCCAATTCATAGCCTTTTTCAGCTTTGTGTTCAAAATGTTGTTTATTTCTTTATTTTTTTTAATTGATAAAACTTACCCACATTCAAGTGTTTATAAAAAAAGAATGCATGAAGCTAGAATAAAATGTTTTTGTTTACAAGCAGATACCCTGTTCTTTCTTTTGATGTTTTGAATGTTCAGATATTCATAACAAAGTATATACAAATTAATACCTAAATAGGGACATAGTAGTATACTTAAAGTATGATGTAAAGTTCACTTAAAGAACTTACGAGTGTACTTGCAGTATAAAACTACTAAACTAGTAGTTTACTGAGACTGTACTTTAAAGTGTACTAAAAATGCTACTACAAGTATTTAATTAGTAAACTATCAGTATTCATATAAGTTCACTTTTAGTATAGTTGCAGTACAAACTAAAAACATAGATGTAAACTAGTTGTGTACTCAGTGTTTACTACTGCTATACTTAAAGTATACTTTTATATACTAGAAAGTGGGCCAATTTAGTCCCAAGGAGTATTGAAATAGTACACTTACAAGTATACTACTAGTACACTGATATTTGTATACTTACTTCATAAAGTATACTTAAAAATATACTTGAAGTATACTACTTTTTGGTAAATGTTGACAAGTAAATGCATCCTGATTCAAGAAATAGAAAACAAGACATAAATACTAAGGAAGAAAATATTGTTTGCAGTGTACTGCATATGAAACCCAGCACAATGCCATGTGTGTTTGTCACATGTAATACTGACAGTGGCCTCCGTGTGTTCAAACACCTCCCGCGCCTCCTCATATGAACATTTCTCCTCCAGACACTCCCTCTCCAGATTGTCCATCTTCAGCTCCTCAAACCAGCCTGTGTTTGCCCGCTTAGTCCGGATCAAAACCCCATGAGCCTCATCCCTCCCCACAAACACTGAACAACACAAGACGGCGTTATCACCAACAACACTCTTAGTAGACACACCGCTGGATTTGGTGGTTTCATGTGGATCTGTAGTTGGTTTAGTTACCTGTAGCAGAATGACAGCTGTAAAGACCCACGAGGACATAAAACCCTGACAGGAGACTCATGTTGAACAGCGGTTCAGTGCGTATCTTCTGCTGCAGGTTCCAAGGTCTGAAGTCTAAATACTCTCCACCCCTCACCTCCCTTACTGAACCACAGAGATCCCAGGACACATGACAGCATTTAAAAGAGTTTATTTGTGTTTATATATGTGCATATTCCAGTGACACATAATATAAATGTCATGCTCTGCCATCTTTTAGGATACTCACTTACATGTGTCTTTATGCGTCCTTAAAAGTGAAGTGTGCTTTGCAAACTGAATTGCAAAAATAACCAGATTGTTATTTTAATATTAAGTCCAGCCCAAACTCACATGATTGTTTAGATGTTAACATGGCAGATCAAAACCGATCAATGTTGTGAAAGTGTCACAGTGTTTTAGACTTCAGGAATTAGGGGCCGTTCACACTAAACACGTTTTTCCATTCCACTTTGATACTTTTCCATTGTTTAAAGGGGTCATGACACAAGAAATCAAATTTGCCTTGATCTTTTGGCACATAAGAGGTCCTTGTACCATTAAAACATCCTGCAAGTTTCATAGCTTAATTCATAGCATGATTTTGTTTTGTAATCGAGGCACAGTGTCATGGAGAGTCACAAAGAATCATTCGTTGAAAGATGAAGCGGCACTAGATCTGCATCACAAACCGAAGTAAATGATTTCAGAATGCTTTGTCTGGAAATGACCGTTTTATTTTGATCTTGTTGTCAAAACACTGGCATGCAATAGCGGGGGCGTTGATACTGTTTCCTATGCAGTGACGTTAGCCAATCACAACAAGCCTTAAAGGACACGCCCCTTAAAACAGGTCGCTTCAGAGAGAGGGTCAGAATGAGGGTTGAAAATAACCATTTTCCCACATTTGTGCAAAAAAACTTTATTAACATTATAAGTAAAATTCAAGGAGCATATTAAAATTATTTTAAAAATCCATGTCATGACACATGCTATCATCTCTTCGTGTCTTTTGCGGCGTCTTGTCCATGACAGGCTTTTCTAAAAACACTTAAAAACGAGTCTTGTTGTTCCCACTGCCCACGTATTCTGTGTGAACGGCCCCTTCACTGACTGAAATCTGAACACACTTCACCTTTAACAACATTCATAAACTCTTGAATTCATGCAGCGGCTACAGTCTTCATGATCCACTCCACAAAGACAGACACGCGCGTGTAGATGCCGTAGACGTCAGTGCGTGCGCAGCCTTTGCCCCAACTCACAATCCCTGTCAGAAACCATGTGTTCTTATAGCGGGTGACCAGCGGCCCTCCGCTGTCCCCCTGACAGGAGTCCCGGCCGCCCTCGATGAAGCCGGCACACAGCATGTTCCTGGTCACCTTCAGGCCCGACTTTGCCTTGCACTCGTCTAACGAGACCCTCGGCACCTCCAGCCGCTGAAGAACCGGAGACGGCGGACCGGACTGTGACAGATGACCCCATCCGCTGACGGTGGACATGCGAATGGCTCCAATGGTACGTCCGAAGGTGCCGTTAACGGGAGGAAGGCAGACGGGAATAGTGAAGGCATCTAGCATGACGGGGCTGAGCAGACGCAGCAGGGCGATGTCGCTGTCAGTGCTGGAGTGGTTGTACCACGGGTGGATGAACACTTTAGACACTTTCCTCGTCTGTTCGGTTCCTTCGTCTTTTCCACGGATGTGTTCACCTGCAGCAGAAGACAAAATGAGACCGAGAGAGAAGATACAGAGGTCTACACTTGAGCTGTGGGAGGAGGAACATCAACAGAACCAGCATGAACAACTCCTCACCGTTAGACATTCTGAATTTACATAGCAGAGCAAAAGAGTGGAGAACAAAATAAGAAAGGATGCAACACAGCTACCTGTTAACAGTGTTGGGGAAAGTTACTTTTAAAAGTAATGCATTACAATATTGTGTTACTTCCTAAAAAAGTAACTAATTACGTTACTTAGTTACTTTTTATTGAAAGTAATGCGCTACGTTACTTTTGCGTTACTTTTCAAATCTGGGCAGGGCTTGCTTGTGTGCTTTTAATATAAAAAGTTCTATTTTTGGCAAATGTAAAAGCCCTTTCACACCAGAAGCCTCAGGCTGAAGGAAAAGTAAATTCACGTCTGTACAGTAGAACGCAGAAGAAGAAAGTTCAACACTCTTCAGCAATAAAAACAGAAGAAGAAATGTTAGTTTATCTTTTTGCTTATTAGTATGGTTCAATTGGATCACCAAAGGTCAGCAGCAAATTGGTTTATAAAATGGGATTAAATACATAAAGGATATTTGTATTATTTAACATATTTAATTATTGCAGCTTTGAGTCATATTCTGAGTTGCTTTTAACTGTTTTTATTAATTTTGAGGAAAACTAAATCTGATATTTATTTTTTTGTGTGAGTGAGATGAATTAAAGCATGTTCACATTTATTCTAGAACTAAAGTAACATCTTACTCCCGATTTCTCTCAACATGGGCACAGGAGAGCTTTCAATCAATAAATGGGGGGAAAAAAGTAACTGGTGTTACTTATTTGAAAAAGTAACTAATTTGTAAATTAAAAAGTAATGTGTTACTTTACTAGTTACTTTTAAAAAGTAATCTGATTACGTAACTCAAATTACTTGTAATGCATTACCCCCAACACTACCTGTTGAATCCACTGCTGTTCGATCCAGAGTTTCTAAATTCTAAATCAGAGTTTGACAAACTTGCAATTGCAGCAACTCCCAGAGACAAACCCAATAATGACGGCAGTTCCCGACCGAGACATTTCTTACCAACTGTTACTTGTAAGATGTCTGGATCCTTTTCCCAAACGCAGTGAGCTGCGGTGAGAATCCATTGGGAATCTAGAATAACGGCACCGCATTTATACTGTTCCTTATGCTGTAGTAAAGCCTGTGGAGGAGACGCACACACACAGAAACATTGACCGAGAAAACACCAAACGAACAGAGAGACCAGATCTGAAGAACAAATGGATTCTGATGAAAGTACGCTCTTCAAAATGAAGGTTCTTTTGTGGAATTTATGTTTTCATGAAGAAAATGTAAAATCTATGG